GGGGATGTTACAAGCAACATCTTCACTTTTTACCTCATTTATGGGAAAATTGTCAACATCTTGAGTAGTCACAGTAAAAGTGACAGTTTTGTTTGTCTAAAATGGGGATTTAATGCTTTGTTCTGAATCAGAGTTCTCTCTCTCTCTCTCTTTTTTTTTTAAATACAGGGATGAAATGGAAAAAATCAAGATACCTAAAGACATGGATGATGCCAAAGCTTTAGGAACAGTGTTGTCCAAATACAAGGACACCTACTACACCGAGGTGTTGGTGGCTTACTTTGCAACCTATGTTTTGTATCCTTGAATTAAGAGGAAAAAAAACTAAAAAACATTGTTTTCTTTTAACTTGTCAATATCACTTTTCCCTATTTTGGCAAAAAGCAACCATTCATTATTAATGTTTTTGTTGGATTTTGCTTGTTTCATGGCAGCATTTGATTGAATATCGATTGGAACTTTGTGACATATAACGCTTTTTAGAAAGTCTTTTTTTTGTGCCTGATGTATTTGTAAAGTTGTTCACCTTAACCCTCCTCTCAGCCTCCAGACGTTTGCCATACCTGGATCTATTTTCCTAAGCATCCTGTCTGGCTACCTTTACCCTTTCCATCTGGCTCTTTTCTTAGTCTGCTTGGTGAGTAACCAAAAGGTGACAAAACGAAACTGAAACTGTCACTATTTGACAGTGGCAACCTAATTAATGTAACGGTACATCCAGAATAATCTAAATAGAATTACAGTGTTGTTTTTTTTCTTCATATCTCTGTAGACATTTGAATTGAACATCCAAACCTTAAAAACTGTGACATGACTTGTACCTTAATCACTTTAGTTTTTCTACATTCTAATGATGTGTGCAAAAAAATAAATTCAGAAATGTGTTCATGACAGCGACGGCTGTGGTTAAAGTGCGAAAACCAAAGGCCTCTGTGTCTTCTTTGGAGCGACATGGTCTGGTTTCTAAATAACAGCGCTACTACTGTTTATATAGCTGCTGGTTAAAGATAGACGGTGCGCTAATATGCTGTTATTTTTATCTCAGGGAGGGTTTTGTTCTAACAATGTTATTTTGTGTTTTTTTTTTTTTTTTTTCTAAGTTGTGTTCATTTTTAACGCAAGTTGTGAGGTTTCCTGACCATGTGTTAATATTTCATCATGTGTCTAATATCCTGACAGTGTTCTGGCCTTGGAGCTTCCTTCTGCTACATGTTGTCATATCTGGTGGGCAGACCTGTGGTCTACAAATACCTCACAGAGCGAGCACAGAAATGGTCCCAACAGGTAATAATATAAATATGCACTTTTAAGGAACCTCTGAAGGTTCAACATGACATGTTTTAGGTGAACTTCAGGCTCTGCTTTTGAGAGGAAAAAAAAAGAACTTCAACTGGGAATTTGGGACTTTATTGTTTAGATCAAGCAACTTTAGCTCTATGCAGATGCAGTGAAGCTGTTAAGTCTTTTCTTGTTATTTCTACTGTAAAGCTAAAGGATGTAGGGTTTGTCACCAGTCTGTTGTGTTGCATCACATTTTTATATATATATATTTTTTTGACAGGTTGACAAACACAGAGATCATTTAATCAATTACATCATCTTCCTGAGGATAACACCCTTTCTTCCTAACTGGTTCATTAACATCACCTCGCCTGTTATCAATGTGCCTTTGGGGGTGTTCTTTGTCGGCACCTTCCTCGGTAAAGTCCTAAGTGCTTTTTGTTTTATTTTACTGTTGGTGAGATTGGTTGTTACTGACTCACCTGTGTTTATCTTGGTTTATCTTAGGAGTGGCGCCACCGTCCTTTGTGGCGATCAATGCTGGAACAACGCTGTACAAGCTTACCACCGCCGGCGAGGCTGTGTCCTGGAACTCCCTGGCTGTGCTTGGGATCCTCGCCGTGCTCTCCATCTTGCCCGTCTGCTTCCAGAAGAAGTTGCAGCAGAAACTAGAGTAGAACTCTTCCGACAAACTCAGCATCTCATTCGCTGGCTGGTCCTGACGTCCCGTTTTGCTCGGTTCAGGAACACGCAGCCGTCGTAGCGGCTGCTTCTGTTTCAGTCAGACTGCCAGCTGCTTGCGTGCTGTTGGCGAAGAAGTCGTAACACGCGCTGACCACAAAATGCATGTTTTGGTGGCTTTTTCCTCATGTTAACAAAAATTTCAACTTGTCTGCTTCTATGCAAATTATTTTTTTTTTTTTTTTCTTTTCTGACTCCTGTTGCTTATTCTGGCAAATCTTCTAAAAGAGAAATTAGATTGTATTTGTTTTTATTTAAGGCACTGGTATTTTAATTGTGTCTTGACGAGTAAAGGTGCTACTACTAGTAGGATATATTGATGGTTTTGCTGCAGCTGATGCTGTCTGCATCAGTGCCATTAGTGTCTTATTGAGGCGTAGGAAAACATTCATCTTTAAAGTTAGTGGAACAATGGTCGCCTATTTAAGCTGAATAACACCTTCCAATGGTAGCATCTTTAAATCCCCAACCTTCCTTAATATTTATTTATTTTTTTTGTGTATCTAAATTATCTATATCACAAACACAATGCTTTGTCACATCTTTCTGATTTTTTTTTTTTTTGAATATGATGTGATCAGTAAGAAAATGGATGTACTGCTTTAACTAAAGTCAGGTTTGGCTTCTCTGCCTCAAAGGTTGTCCTTTGACCTCAGTGTACCTTTTTAAAGGTTAATGATTCTCTTACTGAGAGAACTTCCAATGATTGATCCTCTTCTGTCAGTATTTTTAACTTATTAAGAAAAAATGCAGTCCATCAGAGTGGAGATGTACTCAGAGGTTGGAAAGCCATCTGTTGCTTTTACTGGTTCCAGTTCATCCTCGTGATGATGTATCCATCTGTATTTACGTTATGTAATCCTGTAACTTGGTAACCTATTGCATAGTTATGATAAAAATGTCCTTTTTTGTTGTTTAACAGGATGTTTACTGCACTAATTGTGACTTAAAAATGGGAATTTGAATTATTTAAATGTGTAATAGTCAAAACCCACTGGAAATTACAAGAAAATTAATCTTATTTCATCTTCAAATAAAATCAAGAAATTACTTTCCATCATCTGACAGGAAATTTAAGCAGGTAGATTTTAATACATGTTTATAAGTTTTAGACTTGACACTGAATATTGATTTTTATTCATTTAACTTAATTAAATATGATTTGTCATTCAGTTCATTCTTTTTGGATTATTGAAAGGCAGTAATATCTGCTAAGCAGTGTATCGCTTTGTAGAAAAAAGATTGCAACTCTCTGCCCAGGCTAAACTTTTAACCAGGAAAACTGATCTTTCTAAAGTCTGATTTAATACAGAATCTTTCCTTTAAGAGAAGTATATTTTTGTTTGTTTTAGGTTTGAATGAACTCCTCACTCAGGTACCATCTAATTTACTTATATTAAAAATGTGTGTTTAACTTGATATGTGGGAGAAGACAACCCCTTAAAATGAGACGGGACATTTTAGGCAACCATAATAGAATAGTGCCACCAGGCGGTGACATTGGCTCATTCAGGCAATCCTAGAATAGAATAGAAAATCTCTTTATTGTCCCACATTGGGGAAATTGTGGGAAATCCTGGCAGCCTGTCTTATTATCTTCCTTTAAAACCTTTCTATGGTGGTTTGGAAACCTTGTGACACCACCGAAGTGTTTTCCTTTTGAAATCATATTAAGAGAGGTTAGAAGCCATTTTGTAACTGAATGATATTACTCAATAGTTCATATTTAAACATATGACAAAACAAATTGAATATATCTAAAAAGCTAATAAGAACAGTAAGCAATTATTTATATACTACAAAGTTGAGGTCAAAAATTTATTTGCATCTTTATATCCTCTACAGAAATATATGTAACCTACGAAATGGTTCAACAAATAAAGCGGGATAAAAAAGAGTTTGAATAAATTAGCTGTTATTCTTATTTAAATGTCTTGCTGTTAATATTGGGTCAGATGCTGTAAACTGATCTAGACAGCTAACTTTGGATAATTAAACAAAAACATTTTTTAGAGCAGTTCTCTTTTTCCAACCATTAAGGAGACAAAATTATTCTATTGTACATTATTAATGTTCCTAACTTACCTGGTATGTTTTGGTTTAAATATCCATATGAAGCTGTTAATGTTTACTTACATATTGTACCTGCGTCCACATTTTGGCTACTCTAATCATTACTCAGCAGACAAATGATCTGAGATATTTACTAATATCTACATAGAATTAAGCGGGTATATGAACAGAACGTGTCAGAAACCTCCCAAAAACATTTGACTTAATTCTGTACAGGGGTGGAGCTAGAGGGGGGGCCAGGGGTCGCCATGGCCACCCTTACCCAATCATCGGCCACCCCTGTGGCCACCCATACCATTTTTTTCCCCTCATAATACTGACAGTGGCAGCAGTAATACTCTCAATATTCAAAACATTTTAATTTTTCATAGATTAACAATTATTTGACACAAATCACTGTGGTTAATTATGCACATCAATATACTAACATTAACTTTTCAGAACTAGATTTTGTGTTATATGGGGTGAAGAGAAAATGCAAGTCAGTCTTCAGTTAAATCATACATAAATAATCTAATAAAAACTTAGTAAATAAACAATTTATGTAGATATTAGTACTTGTAAATTATATTTTATGCAGAATGATTATTGATAAAAGTAGGTAAGTAATGACAATAGAAAAGATGTTCAACCCAGAACACCCAAAACAAAGGTTGTAGGAAAGTATAGTTTGTCTTTATTTGGAAAATATGGGTGTTCGTTGGATCAGTATAGATTGACCCTAAGGTTCTGGTGCCGATCCGCTTTCGGCCACCCTACAGTGTACATTAGTTATTGCCTGGTCATCCTTTTAAAAATGTTCTGGCTACGCCTCTGGCTCAGTTGAGATTTTATTTTTGAACGAAGTTTTATTTTGAAACGGCGTTTTATTTTGAAGGGGTTTGGGCGGAAGTGGGTCGCTCCGCTGTCGCCGTTGCGGCTTCAGCTAAATATGAGTGCAGATTTTCAACCCTTGCAGTAACGTCGCTCACGTAATGGACTGGAGAAATCACGTCTCCCAGTTCCTTTAATATGCTCCACGTCCCAGAGCTGAGGGCATCACCGGACCAGTCTCAAAATGACCACCGGCTTCAGCTCCGGTTCCTCCCGGTTCGCAGATTATTTTGTGATCTGCGGACTCGACACCGAAAGCGGGCTGGAACCCGACGAACTGTCCGGTAAGCCTATTAGCCGTTGGGGTAATACGTCGTGGTGATGCTGTGTGGAAATAGGGAAAGGCTGAATAATTTCTTATATTTTATGTATTAGTATGTGGGTTGGGCTTTCACATTTTCCTTTCCAGACCATTTTTTGTCTGCTGGGGTGAAAGCAAAGCGAGCATAATAACCCCGGGCCTAGCATACCTGCTTTCAGCCTGTTTGTTTCTAATGCTCCATTAGGATTGACGGGATTACTGACTGGTTATTCCTCTTTATCTCATTTTAATGCAGAGGTTGACCTTCACCTTCTTTCTGACCGTGTTCAGCTGTGCTATTATTAATAAACATTTGAAACAAACAAACAAAAAAAATCTATTATTGCCTGCATTTACACATATTTACAGTAATAAAAGCTTTGATACACCTGTTATAATTATGTGAAGATCAAAATACAGCCATGCAGTCTCAGATCCACCCACATACATAGCCAGCATCCACTAGAGACGCACTATACATGTAACACTTTTTAAATGGCACACCCTTCCTGTCAGAAAATCATAATACAAATAGATTCAGCGCCTAATTTTAGCACAATAGCTCAGGATCCATGTGTGCCCGGTCTGTTTGGTTTGACTACAACTCCCTGTTTGATCAGGCTTTCTCACAACAGAAGAGCAACATCAATTTGAAAGAAACATCTGGCACATGTGGCAGTGTGAAATGCTTAACATTGGGTATATGTGATTGGGATTTGATATCATGTTTATGTTTCCAATCAGATCTCAACCCAGCTGGTTTGATAGAATAGAAATCCCTTTATTGTCCCACAATGGGGAAATTGTGGTGTTTACAGCTGCAAAGGGGGAGATAATGTGCAAAAATGATGCACATTAGAAAGTGTATACATATAACAGATAGGAAAATAGTATTTTTCTGTAAAAGGTTTTTACAACAGAAATACTCTGTATCTGGAAGTAGGAAAAAAAAAATCAAATGCAGCAGTGGACATTTTTACAGTAAAATGTGATCTGGTTCTGCTGAAGGTTTCTTCCTGTTAAAAGGGAGTTTTTCCTCTCCACTGTCGCTAAAAGCATACTTGGTGTGAAGGATTGCATCTGAGTCAATGAGTCCATGCAATCAACTGGTTTTCTTTTCATAGAAAACTTTGAATCAATTTGACTGGATGATCTGGTGAACTGTAAAGTGCCTTGAGATGACGTGTTGTGAATTGGCGCTATATAAATAAATTGAATTGAAATGAAAAATAGCAGCAACACAAGAGATGTGCTAAAAATGACAGCAGCATGTTATTTAACTGACTAAGATAGAAACTGCAAAAATTAGCATGAATGTAAAAATTTATTGAGGTTGTTGGGAAAAGTGGTGGTTATAGAGTCTTAGAGCTGCTGGGAGAAAGAATATGTGATAACACTCCCTGGTGCATTTAGGGTGCAGCAGTCTGTCACTGAAGGACCTCTCCAGTTCAGCAACAGCTTCATGCATGGGGTGGGAGACATTATCCAACAGAGAAGATATTTTAGTTGGGATCCTTTGTTTTCCACCTCCAGCACTGAATCCAGAGAGCATCCAAATGATGGGGAATAAAACCATAAAATCAGAGAATATTATTGTAACATCTGTTTACGATTTATCTATAAAACAGCCCTGTCCTGTTTGTATTGTGTTGTGCTGTTCAGGGCCCATATATATTGAATTACACTCTCTACTGTATTTCTAGGCTTCAGTTTTGAATGCTTGGTTTTGCTGAGTTTTAATTGTTAGTACTTCACAGTTCAAATGTGTAATATGTAGAGGCAAGCTTAAGGTTTTTTTTTTTACTTAAAATATACTTTTTAAATATCTTAATCTGATCATTATTTTTAATGCAAATCCAGTGGCTTATATTTTTTCCTCATCTAGTTAATTCATTGGGGAAAGATAATGAGTTGGAATTAAACTCTTCAGTTTGCTTTAAATGTGCTTTCTGTTTTAGATGAGTCTGTGTTGGGGTCAGACCTGGTTTATCAGCGCAGTTGCTATATATTAGCAATTGTTTATGATGCCACCATTCTGTACTAATGTCAGGGTTTTCCGTAGTAATGTCCCTGTTAACAGTGCTTGATGGGAAAACCCTGAATGTTTAAAAACTAAAAAGTGGTCTACTTATCTCAGATGGTATCTCTAAGGCTGTGTTTAAATTCAGACATGTTGCTATGCCCATCAACAAAAGAAAATCCCTGAAGTTTTTTTCTCACTCCACTGAGACTCTTCCTGCTGTTTGTTAATAAAGAGTCATTTGGTCTCATACCTGTTAACGACTACATGTAGAATCCCATTGGGTTCAGCTAGCTTTAATTTGGATATCCTTAATGTGTTTTTTCACTTCTGAAACCTCACAAATTAAACGCCTCTGGCATTTGATAACATTTTCTCTCTTATCTCCTCTCTGTCTCATGCTAGCGTGATTTATAGTGACTCAGCAGGTAGTGAAAGGCAGCTGCTGCAAGAAACTTCTTTCCTCCCTACAGCACAGCAATAACGTGACCAAAAATCTTTTTAGTTGTCTTAGGCTGATGTGGTTCTCCTTTTTAACTTCCTTTGCTTGAGTTCCTGTTTATTGCTTTAAGGGCCAATTCACTGTTAGTTTTTGGGATGCAGAAAAAGCTTAAGAGTCTGCAGTCCCCTTTTTATTGCAACTAATCAGTAGGGTTATTTATTATTATTATTATTATTATTATTATTATTATTTTTACCAACAATTCAATGCCGATATTAATACTGCAAACCGTTTTCTTTTTAAAGGCAAAGGAATCTTTATTTCATGGGAGATGGGGAGACTTGCTGCATTAACATATTCCTGTTATCTTTGTTAAGTCAATAATCAATAGGCAAAACGGCTGAACGACTTCTCCCAAAAATTAAAATTGCGATTATTTTTAACCAATATTGCGCCTTTTAACTCGATAATCCTTTACACTAACCTCAAGCTTTTAGATGTTTTACCCCAGCTTTTCATGTTTTTTTATTTTATTTTGCTTGCCCAGAGTCCATTGTTGCAGAATTTTACTGTTACCTTGTCTGAAAAGGGCTTATTTCTACGTGCATGCACCGATCTGCATGCTAGCTGAAAATCTCTCTACCTTTCTGTGCGGTGACAACCCCACTTTAAGAGTTTTACTGCCCCCTAGAGGACTGAAGGAGAAATGTAAAATTTTACACTTGTTAAATATAGTGTGATTAAAATTGAGTACTTCTGCTATTCAAAAACTGTGAATATATTGCAAATGCAATTAATTGCACAGCCCTAATGGGCAATGACAGAAAAAACTATTATTGGACATGTAACTCTCGATCAAGTATTAATATCCTTTTTTTCTATCTTTAGAAAACATTGAAAAGATGAGGAGATTTTTGACCCTAAGGTCCATATAAATATATTCAGTAGCAGCCTTGATCAGGTTCTGGTCATTTTGCACCAGGATTTGATAAAAGTTTGGGGTTTATCAAACTTAACTCAGCTGGGTTCAACTAGAGGTTTCAGTTTCTGTTCCTACCTGTTAGCCTCCGCCTGTGTCCACTCTTATTTTTTTTTTAGCTATGTATGCTGCTACTGAAAAAAGGTTGGACAGGAGGGGGTGGGCGGCTGTTTATTGCCGCTTCAGTTTCCCACCTGTCGGAGGCGTCTTCCAAGGATGCGGTCTACCAGCACCGGGTCCTTCCAAGTCTGTGAAAATAAGGAGTCCGGAAGAGTTTTGGCTATTGATTCAAACAGGTCTAGCCTTCTGCGGCTTTCACCACCGAAAGGCTCCGTTGCTTAGTAACCATAAAAAGTTGACACACAAAGCAGGAAAAAAGGATGAATACAGAACTTTTTAAAACTGTTTCCTTTGAGGTGTGCTTTGGTGGCGCAGTGGTTAGCGCACACAACCCATGTATGGAGGCCTTAGGTCTCGACGTGGGCGATCCGGGTTTGAATCCGGCCTGTGGGCCTTTCCCACATGTCTCTCCCTCTCTCTCATACCCCCTTTACTGTCAGCCTACTGTCCATAAAAACTAGTGCCGTAAAAACTAACAAAAAAAAAAGTTTTTTTTTTCCCTTCTCTTTATTGTAAAGTGAACAAAGACTTTACTCATGAGAATACAGAGTGGAATAAAGGTGACAACCACTGGGACCATGTACAAATAAAAGAAAATGTGATGATATAAAAGGGGTAGAAAGATATAAGTAAATCTTAACAATGTATGTATAAAAATATATCTGCAAAATCTCTTATGTTCAACAACAAAATTGATCAGTTAAGCAAATTGTGTAAAATAGCAAATTAAAAAATGAAAATCATACCAGATTTATAATCCCCACACTGCAGATATATTAGGATACACCGCACCCTTCCTTCAAATCAGGCAAAAAGGAGGATGCATTTGTCGGCCTCATAACGAGGAGTCTTCCAATCCGAACAGACTTCGGCGCCGAGCTATGACGTAATCGGCCTACGACGCAGCCCATGAATTCAAATTCAGCCAGTGTCTCATCTGAACCAACTTTGTCAAAGTGGCGGAACTAAGACTGACTTTATGTGTACCAGTTCAGTGCTGCTGATACAGGAGCATCATAACCTGTTGGTTGGTCTTCAGTCAGTGCTTTGCCTTGAGAACGGTCAATTAGGCTCTAATCCAGACGTGCAGAAACTCAACTGTTTTGGTCTGTTTGTTGTGTACTAAGCTAGGTAGATTTAATCATGGTTTACATCAATGCTTTGGGCGAATTAGTGCCTTTTTGTTGGATTAAAGTTTGTTGTGTTGATATAATCAAAATGTTGATCATGATCGGTACCATCTTAAGCAGAGGCTAAGTTCCTACGACTTCAGAGAGTTCAGAGGGGGGTAGATCGGACTGTAGTTGGGGAAAGGACTATATTGTTTGTTTACCTCTGATCAGTTGTGAAGTTCATTTTCTCTATCAGCTTTAAGTCTGTTGTTAATGATAAACGCGTGAGTTTAAAACGTATAAAAAGCAA